AAAGTCACTCTCCAGAGCTTTATATTGATCATCTTCATGCCTGAGGGGGGAGAAAATCTCCATGTGTCCCTCGGAAAATTCCCTTGAGTCGGGGTTGCAAAATTGTTCCTCTGGGGATAAATTCTCACCCACTTAAGACAACATGGTCCTGTCTTCTTACCACCAATATTTCAGGTTTTACATCTGACAGGGAGATAATAATGACCTGCTTAGAATACATATAGTCAGCATGTTATTACATAGATTTGGGGGAAGGGACCTTTTTGGTTTTTTTTTTCAAGGGGGGAACCCTTTTTGGATAATATGCGAAATTCCATAATAAATGAATGGATGTATTGAAATGACTAGAAGATCACTTATCAATGAAAGGTGCTCACAGTTCAAAAGGTTATTTTAATGTGACCATTTAGAAGACTCATTCAGATGTGTGCTATTGGCCACTGTGTGCTTATTAGTCCACAGAACTCTAAAGGCCAGGGTCTCACTTCTCTTTGAGCCAGAGAGGCTTAGACGATCACCTACGGGCTAACTGACACTTCATACTCTTGACTACAGCTTTCAGAATGTATATTTATGTATGTCACATTTGTTTGGGGATTAAAGGAAGGGCATGGAAATGATGGGCTTTTTTGGTCTCACTGCCCTGTACTTGCCGGATTCGTTTTCTCCTGGGATTTCAGACATCTCTGTGTCTTAATTAAAGACTATAAAAATCCATTAATGAAAAAAAAGAAAGAATCCATTCTGCGATAATGTCTCCCCTCTTCATCGTTGGAACCCTTTCTCCAAAGTGGGTGAGGAATATCTTCTCAGGATTGTATGTAACTAAAAGCCCAAGCTGTGAAGCTTGTTATTCAGTGGAGCTGCTCTGAGCTGGTTCTGCTTTGAAAAACTTACTCTGATTCCCTGTGCTATTTGAAGAAGAATTTGATAGCCTAAAATAAAAACCAAAAAGCAATTTAGCGAGAGAACATTGATTAAGTATATCCTGTAGGGCAGTAGAATCCTAATTGCTTTGAAATTCATTTAATTCTTCCAACGACCAATGATCATCGACCCATCCTAAGGTAGAGGGGGAGTTTGGGGATTAAAGAGATGAACGAACCTGCCTGGGCCTCACATAACAAACAGACTCCAAAGTCTGTCTAGGGGGAAAAACACGGATTATGTTTTGTTGGTTTGGGGAATCTGAGAGCTTCAGGAAGGCCATGATCATTTCTACTTCACTTTCGCTCCTGGCTCCTTGCCAGTGTCGGTACTCAGTTAGACTTCCCCAGAGGGTGGATAAGCTCTAGCCTTAAAAGGCCTCCTGACTTTTGAGAGACAACGGCTTGAGAGGGGCAGGTATGATTGTCCCTATACTTTTCAGTCTCTCTTTATCTTCTTCAGTTGGGGAAAGCTTTGCAGATAAGAAAACTTCTAAGGAAATAATTTATTTTCTGGCCCAGTGCCCAAGGAGAAGAAAAGAAGAAACCTTCTTCCAAGCAGATTAGAGGAGAAGAGAATGTTGAAATACTGAGGACCATGGAAATCGCAGACGGGCTTCACACTGGTGTGCTCCTCTCTGGGCACATGCACTGAACCTCTAGTAATCCACTGTGAAGAGGAGTGGGGCCAGCCCAACTGGAACTTGATGCCCAACACAAGTCACTTGTCACCTCTCCAGATACTTCTTGCTTAAAAACACATCTGGGAAACTCTTACAGATTGCTGACTAGGAACCTACCTTTTTTATTCCCCCCAAAATGGTTTCCAATAGAGAGCCATAGAGATTTGAGAGACTTTTTATGGAGAAAACGGTGTGAACGTTGAAATAAAATGCCTTCCCAAATGCCACTACTATCCTCGAATGTTTTTTAAATACATGCTGATTAAGCCCTATATGTTAAGGGTGAACTTTCGTTTAAAAATGCACTTGCTGCTCTGTGCTTCATTTTGTAAGTGTATGTGAATGGCAGTTGATGGTGTCCTGGAATGTACTCAGATCAGTCACATCCAACACTGAACAAACACCTGCTGTTTTGGGTTAAGAAGTGCAATGTTGTGAGGGGACAAAATGAATTGCACTGAAAATTCGACATGCCTTCCTCTCCCCATCAGCAATCCCCTTTGCCCACAACATTCCTGAAAATCATCCCTTAAATGTAAGCAAACCACCTAGTGTCCTAGTACTCGTTCTTGACTTGTGCTCTACTGATCCCTACTGATCCTGGGAACTCCAGGCAAAGAGACCAGTGATCCTGTTCAAGAGATAGAAAGCGCGAACAAATCTAGTATTCTATATAAGAAAACTGCTTAATCTTTTAAATTTGTATCTGACAAAAGCTAAAAGTGCAGATACGTCCCTACCCCCACAATAAAGAGGTTTCTGGGCAGGGGGTGGGGGGGGTG